GCACAAAGAATGAATCATGGAACACTACATCAAAAACTAATGATGTAATGTATGGTGATTAACATAACATAATAAAATTTAAAAAAAAAGAATGTAAAAAAAAAAAAAGAGTCTCTTGTGGTTTGTCTCCCTCTCTGGTTTCGTCTTGTTTCATTTTTCTGAGTTTGACATTTAACAGAATTTCAAAGAGAAATATTTGGAATTGTATTTAAAATTTTTTTTAAAGATTTTATTTATTTATTTGACAGAGAGAGCACAAGTAGACAGAGGGAGAGGGAGAAGCAGACTCCCAGCTGAGCAGGGAGTCCAACTCAGGGCTCGGTCCCAGGACCCCAGATTATGACCTGAGCTGAGGGCAGACACTTAATCGAGGGAGCCACCCAGGCCCCCAGGCTTTGGAAATCTTATATATAGCTTATACTTCTAAAGAAAATTTACATGAAACCATTCTTATTTCTTTTCTGAACAACTTAGTCCTTAGGATGAAATCTATAGATATCACTGGTAAGAAAACGGGGTGATAAAAATATTACCAGCCATTAAATCTGTTAAATCTGTTAGAGTTTTACAATAATTCAACAGAATAATTGTAATAGCTTATCAGAGACTGCAAGCTTTCACCAGTGACTGCACACTATACTATATACTTTTAACATGGCGCAGTGAATGATACCCTTTTTAGATAGAGAATAAAAGCTTTTCTTCACTTATTTTCCAATGTTCCAACTACAGTGGTCTATCTTCTCACTGTCTGGCTTTTCTATTCTAGGAATCTACTGCTCTCAGTGTCAGGCACTGTCTGAAACTGTCACCATCACTCAGGTTCTTTCTTCTTCCCCCTTCTCTGCTCTATTTTTCAGGTCATTGCTTCCACCCTTGGCTTTTAGTGAAATTGTCAACATTTTCAGTTGACTAATCTTATGACTACTTTCCTTCTACATGTTAAACAAACCAATGATGGTCACATACATAGCCACTGGCTCTGAGTGTTATTTCCCGATGCTCCAGGAAATTTTTCCCCTTAAATGTCAAAGGGTCTTGTTTTGTTTTTACTGACTTCTGCTTCTGGAACTATTAGCAACTATTCTGTGTTTTCAGAAGATAGGTCTCTAGGTAGGTCAAGTTTCACTGATGGTGAAAAATTTCCTCCTTCTCTGAGTCAATGATTCCTAAAAGTGCTATGTGGCACTTTAATATAAGATAATTCTATTTTGAGCATGTCATGATTTCTTTTGAGTTTTATCAGTGGTTAATGATGTTCCAAAATAAGGGTCAGGATTCACTTTCTTCTCTCAGTGATGATGCTACTTTTTTCTATACATATGAATACTACAAGTATTAATGAACTTAAACAACTACTAGTTATGCCAATTTTACATTTCATTAGTCTGCAGTGCTGGTTTTTGAAAAATGGAAGATAGTATGGAGTAATGGAAAAAGTACTAAGGTAGGAGTCAAGAGACCTGAACTCTAGAAATCTAGATCAGGTAATAATTGCCCAATACAACTCTGTGCAATTACAAAACCTAAAGGGCCCTTAGAGGCTTTGTTTGTAAATTTAGAAAAGAGAAGTGCTTAAAGTGCTTTCTAACTCCAAAGTCACATAACAACCAATAATACATAATAAACAGTAAAATCTGTAATTGAGTAGTAAGAGCTGCTCCCTCAGTTCTCAAACAGGAGGGAAGACAAAAATACATACAATGATGACAAACAGAAAAGATTTCACCATTTCTCCCCATTTACATTCGTACAAAAGGAGATTTCACATGGTAGAAAAAACTTTGGCTCATTAAAGAAGGAACAGATCTCATGAGCAGATCGAATATTCAAGCTCAAGTCAATCATTCATATCTGAGGCAAACCACTTCTGAGAAAGGACTGCTTATTTTTCCTGCTCCCTTAGTCTCTATTTAGGCACACTACTGTCTGAAAGATACAGTCTGCCCTCACAGGCAATTAGTAATTCACATAAGCAGATATGCCATTTTATGAAGAGACATTAACTAAAGCTCACTGATATCTTATTAGGTGGGCAGACTAAGCCCAGAGGAAATTATCCAACACACTAAAAACACTGATTTGTTTTTCTTAAATGAAGCATCTGCCAAAGTTGCCATCTATACTGAAAAGGCAAATGTAAATCACTGATTACGACTGCTGCTGCTTTGCTGCCAGTATTAACACCATGACTTCCTCTAACTTTGCATAGGGTCCCACTTGCCAGTCTTGGGGCCAAGTGCTTCACATGTGTTAATTTATTTAATTCCTTGTAACAACCCTATTGAAATAGGTAGCATTATTAACCCTGTTGTTTGTATGAGGAAACTGAGGTAGAGAAAGGCTAAGTAACTTGTTCAAGGTCATACTACAAGTAGCAGGACCAGGACTCTAACACAGGGAGTACAAGCTCACTACTATTATCCTATACTGTTTTTTCAGACTATTAGCTGATAACTTATTAAGTACTTACTATGTGCCAGACACTGTTCTAAAACGCTTAGCATGTATCAATTCCTTTAATCTTCATAACCTCCTGTGAGGGAGGTAACTGTTCTTAATCTCATTTTACAGACAAGGCCCAGGATGTCACTTTTTAAAAAAGGGATTTGCATTTTTTTTTTTTTTTTAAGATTTTGTTTATTTGAGAGCCAGAGAGCATGAGCAGGGCAGAAGGAAAGAGAGAGAAGCAGGACTCCCTGCTGAGTTGGGAGCCTACATGGGGCTTGATCCCAGGACCCCAGTGAAATCAAGAGTCAGATGCTTAACCGACTGAGCCACCCAGATGCCCCCAGCCAGTTTCATTTTTTTAAAGTCTGCATTTGACAGACACATACTAGACAATAACACAGAATGCCACAGTGGAGAGAATATGATACTTAAGTGCAGACTTCCCCCTCCACATCTCTCCCTTACCACCCTCCACTAATTCTTTTAATGCAAGAAGGGTTATGGCAGGCAAGAGCAAATCAGGTTTGTGTTCTTGGCAGTGCACTTCTGTTTATAAGGGATGTGCTGTGAAGAACAAGACCTCTACCGTGTTCCTATAGGAAACAAAAAGTAATACTTCAAAACACAAAACGAGGTTACACTTTGCGTCTGTAGCCAGTAAAATATTAATAACCATTCATTCTAAGGCCAATCTAAGAACATAAAGGACAGAAAGCATTTCAAAATAGACTGGGATGCTTTACCCCAATGTTTTCATTTTCTACTTAACAATCACCATCATTATCATCATGTACCTACAAGGTTTGAAGTCATTTGCCTACTTTTTTACTCCTTCAACAACATTGATTAATGTATTTTGTATGTGAAAACACGATATTAAACTCTGCAAAATAAAAAAAGAACCAAGCAGAATAATGAAGTCAATAATATAAACAGTCTACCAATATTCTGATAAATAAACAATGACAGAAAAAGACATATAGAAAAAAAATGTGTTTATTTATTTATTTATTTATTTATTTGACAGAGACACAGTGAGAGAGGGAACACAAGCAGGGGGAGTGGGAGAGGGAGAAGCAGGCTCCCCGCTGAGCAGGGAGCCCAATGCAGGGCTCAATCCCAGGACCCCGGGATCATGACCTGAGCCAAAGGCAGACGCTTAACAACTGAGCCACCCAGGCGAAAAAAAATATAAATTGTGCGCCTGGGTGCCTCAGTCGTTAAACGTTGGCCTTCTGCTCAGGTCATGATCCTGGGGTCCTGGGATTGAGCCCCGTATCGGGCTCCCTGCTCAG